CCAAAATACAGGACTCATGGTAATAGTGTAATCTGATGTACTAATAAGGGAGGATTCTTTCCTCAATTACAATATGAAGCAGTTACTTATCCTTCAATATAATCAAAGACCATTCTAAGTTTGACGATATTCTTCTTGACATAAGTACAATAAAATATTTCCCTGAAAGGTCGACACTCTTTGTACTTCTTTCACGGTGGGTTGTGCAGCTTTTGGTACACTCACCTGGATTGTCCTAAGTAGTTTTACCCACTCAGCTGATTGAATGTACTTTTTGGGTACCGACACCATAAGTATTTATTTTCACGCAAAATTGTCAGTAATGTCCTTGGTGCGTCTGGGACATTCTTCTCTGCCATTGAGTAATTACTCATTCCGTCGCGTTGTTTATAGGGGCAGCTGGATGTGGCATGTGAAGTAATGCAGAAGGTCTTTACGAGTCCTTTCGTGATACTGTGAGTCTTTCGGTGATTTATATTTACAACGAACGTAATAAGTGATCGAAGGATCCATCATGGCTCACACGTACTGTAAATGAGTCTTTGACCACACCAATACCTTATTTCCGCATGAACGTATACCTCGCTTTGACCTTTAGCAATCATTTGTTTTCCCAGGACGATATATTCTCATCCATTCTTGAGAAAAACTATTCCTTTCAAAGAGAAAAATGCAGACAGAACATGTTGTACATCCACGGATATAAGACAAACACTAGGATATCATCTAATGCCTCAAATGATGTTTGTAGCAACTTCAATGCTGGTAAAACCCAAAGATGACATCCCACCGTTTAGTAATTGTTTGAAATGAGAGATCAAACTAAACTGATGCCCCGAAGAAGAAAAACACCAAAAGTATTTATGTTGAAAACTATCTTGATTGTGACTTATAAGTGACAAATATGCATGTTGCCAAACCATCACATGCATCTTTTACAATGCTGTGGGATGAATATGATGAAAAACATAATTTTGTTGAATCCTACATGCATATTATTTGGCGAAGGAATAAAGCATTGTCAATTGAGATTTCAGTGGAATACCTGTTAAAGGCACACAAAATACCTCCAAATGCAAAGATTATCAGCAGCGGAGCGAGAACAAGCCATTGGATTGTCATAGATGGGGGGCTTCGAACAGGCATGTTGCCAGAACCATCATGAGGGTAATGAGACGTGTCATCCAGATTAGGCAGACATATGTTAGTCACCAGGAGTGACCATCCAGTAAGACCATCACCTGCTCATTTGCTCACAGTGACGTCAAGTCGACCATTCGAGGGCATGTCTTTAATCGTTAACTTGGACTCACGTTGATCCAGAAACATGAACCGTCGCAACTCGTTGTGTGGTGGTGTTGCAAAGAAAGTACACATTGTGTGAATGTTAGCAATTTGTAAGCTAACATTGTATTTGATTTTGGTAAAAAGACACCTCTCTACAAACTTCAAGAGCTACATAAAACAAGAAACACATAGATCTTATCTTGTTTACTACAATGCAGTCATCTGAGAAGTTGAAAGAAATCTTTCCGTGCGTGTTTTAACCTAGTCTTTGAAAGAAACATTGTTATTGTAACATATCGTCCGCACGGATAATACACCAGACAGTCACTACCCATGGACGCGAAACACTATTTTGTAGACCAGTGAATATATTATCAGATACCAGTGAACATATTATCAGATACTGTAACCAAGTCAGGATCATACATTGTAGAACAAACAATTAGAAAAAAATATCATGTATTCGTTTCAAATCATGTCAGCCGTTACACGGAATGTAAGTGGTAAATTGCAGCAAGCGTGTGTTTCCTCAGTGTGTTGTCCTGATATCAACCATTGGTTTATCTGCACCGGGTTCGAGTATTTACAGGTAGTCATGAAGCAATTGTCCATTACATAATCTACTACTTCTATATTTATGTATATTGTACCAGCTATAACTTGTTGCATTCTAACATTACTACCTGTACGTTTTGGCGCAACATCCTCAATTGCCAGTCTATGCATTGTAAAATGGGCCTGTGGCCTCATTTACTGAAATGAACGACTACTTCTATTCAAGGCAGTCATGAATCAGCTGGATATTGTTTGGTTACACTTGTCACCTTATACAAGGGATCAAATACTGACGGTTGTTAACAGTGTTGTTGTAAGGTATATCCATTTTCTCAACATGGACTGACTGACTGAGTTTGGTTTTACGCCGCTTTTAGCAATATTCCAGCAACATCACGGCGGGGGACACCAGAAATGGGCTTCACACATTGTACCCATGTGGGGATTCGAACCCGGGTCTTCGGCGTGACGAGCCAACGCTTTAACCATTAGGCTACCCCACCGCCCCTCAACATGGACAGGGAAGATGTTTCCAGTAACGACGTGCGTTATTTGTGACAGTGTCGAACACATGTCAACAAAATATCGCTCTCTACTATGTGACAGTAACCGATGTACTATTGATATTTGCAATGGACAGTGCATTGGAACCAGTTCAATAGCCGTATCTTCGCCGTAACAATATTATTATATTAAACAAAACATGTTTTTGGTGAAAAAGGCCAAGATCAAAATGATCAATGATATTACCTAAATGAAAAAGGAACTCAAGGTGAAAATCGTGTTGAGTATTGTTCATTAGAAAATATGTTTACATTTGTTTGTCTAAATCCTGATGGCTTAAAAGGATCATGTGAACTGCAAGGTGTATACACGTGTGATATCATCTTTCACGTATCGAATGCTTCTCAATGCAAACACTGAGGTACAAATATAGCGCGGTGAGGTGGGTGAGAGTATTCACCTGTATTTACGCCAGAACGATTGCCCCAAACATTATAATTCTCCGTGCTGGGTATTTATTTACACCTGGAACCAACAAAGGATATCTGGCTTTGATTAGCACGGAACGGTTATGTTAACGCGAGTCGTATTACCTACTGCCACACTTTAACACCGAGCCAATGCATAGGCCGATGCGCTGATCAAACATGTAGAGTAGGGTTAGCGTGATTGTTAAGTAAAACACGATTGATCTCTATGACAACTGTTGTTGACTTCCCATCTGACTCAGTGATACTGCGTGTGAAGTGTGAAGTCGAATTCAGGATCCGTTCTGGACCTCGTTGCACAAAGCGGTTTTAGCGCTGGAATGACTGTAACTTATATAGTTAACAATAGATTTCGACACTCATAGCGCTAAAATCTCTTTGTGAAACGACCTTTTATTACTTAATTAGGAAAATGTAAGAGGATAGCTAACATTATTCGTACAATGGGAGAGAAGGAAAGGCGAATTGGTGAGTGAGTAAATAATTGAATGATTTGGGTGGTTGAAATGCTGGATTGTTGCACGAGAATGATTGAAGTTGGTGGGTGCATAGGATCTTGGTTGAGTGAGTTACTTTGTAAGATCAGGTAATACAGAAATTGGGTATTTAGTTCGACATATTAACATTATGGAACACATTAAAGGATTCTCTATCAGAAATTGTCAGTGGACTTTTTCATTATTTCCATATTCTTTGCATGATATTTGAATGCCATCTGATATGGACATTCAGCACGCAACATATCATTTCATATTGTAAGGATATTAGTTATTCATACTGTTTCCAGCTCAACTGCATGTGATTAAAGTCAGCGCTTAGATAGAGGCTTAAGATATTCAGCACACGAATTCAGCCTGATCAAAACTGAACACAGCCGTGCTTGCACACTCTCAAACGATGTGGGCCTGTCAGACATAATACTAGGAATCTTATAACCGTTATGAAACAGTAACTACTGTTGCCACCTCAGCGTGCAGACTGTTATTGGATATTTCATAAGGACGTTTATTTCCCTATGTTATTGGCAAGACGAAATGAAACAAATACCACAAAATACGTCCTGCGAATAGTATCAGACAGAAATATTGCAATCAAATATTGGTTTTACAGTTTGTTATTACTAAAGACAACATCCAGCTCCTCTGCGTGACGCCTTGTTGCTCTAAGTGGAAACCCGTTGAAAATACATGTGAATATGATTATGGTTGTTTCAGACATAGGTAAGACAAACAAGATCTCCGGAATGCTGCTAACAGAACCTTCTGGAGCAACGAGCAGTTGAATGAGTAGGCTAAATGAGCAGTTTATGAGCGGAAGACGCCGCACTAGCAATTAAGAGATAAGCACTGTCACTGTTTGGTGATGTGTCTTGGATTCCAGGGGAATTGTAAGCAAGTCTAGCGCATATCTGATGAAGGTGGTCATATCAGGGAGAACAGTTAATTGTATGCCCAACAGGTGGAATAGTATGTGGCGTCATTAGTAACACTGAATCCCAAACCCGATTATATCAGGTTGTATAACTTTCTGGTAGGATGGTTTGTTTAGTTTTAGTTTTAAAAGGTTTATTTCATTTTAGATCGTAAAATTGTTCATCAACAGGTGTTTCATAGACACTGCCTTGGAGGTAATATATATCTCACATCTGATCTCAGTTGTACAGTTCACATGCTTTGGCATGGGAAACAGATATAATCACAGCTGAAGATATGGACAGCTCTTTTGTCCTACGTGAAGCCGAATTTCAGAACGTGTACAGGAGCTATATAAGGCTGCAAGGGGTCACATCGGTGTAGGTAGGACACCTTCATAGGCAGATACATGTAGTTTGTATGAATAGAACTGTGTAGTATCAATAGACACGCATACGCGAACCGTTGCCATTTCATCAAGTGTTCCTTTTGTCAATGATTTTACTTTTCTAAGCTTGTTCTTCAAACGGACGAAAATGTCAACATACAAACGCAAGTACTCTGTTCCAAGAGGGACATTTCATGCGAATCGCTTAGGTACATTGAATAATAGATGAATGAAATTTATATCCCGAACCAATTACTGCTACATCCATCGATTTTCGAGAGTCAACTGCCGACCAATTAGTATTAACAATGTCTGTTAACATTTACATGGTGTTTCCGTGTAAGACATTTATATCAGCATCCTTACCTGTAAGACCATTTGAAGAGCGAGTGCCAACGGTAAGTCCTCAATTGCCGTCCCTCTCTGTTACTTGGGAAGCAGAGAAACTAGAACTCCGAATGCTATCGGGACTCAGGCGTGCAATCCACTGAAGATTCTCCCGCCTTACGCGCGAGAGTGAGGCAATCCCCCGCCAACTCGCGGGTAACGCTACCACGCTACCTCAGCGTTCGTAAATTGACAAACGCGCGATCGATCTGTAATGATATCACGTGGCACTACCTACTGCACTGGTGAATAAACAAGAGTCCTATTGGATGGGAAACGAAAGGATGCACAGATTAAATCAATGCTAAGCGACAGTTGTAGCATGTTAACTGTCACAATTTCTACATCCTTGTTTACTGCTGCAAGTCTATCACGTCCGCGACAAAACGAGTCTGGCAAATGGTGATTTACCAACAGCTCTGAAAGGTCTTTTTTAAGCATTATTGGCAAAATTTAAAGTTGTGTTATTTACCATAAATGAACTTAATCATATCTGCTGTGTTTGTGTTGAAAGTGATATGGAGCCGTAAGCAATGAGAACAGGTGAAGCGGAAAATAGTTATAGGTGTCGGTAAATGATTGCATTATTCATTGATCTCTAAAGGAGAACGATTAATCAATCGATAGAGTACTTAACTGTTTAAATAGTAATCAAATCAATTCATCAGGAAATGATTAAACCTGCTTACTTGATTTCCTTATTGACGCCAAACCCACGTGGACACTGCTCCAGTACACGCTATGACAACAGCAAAAGACAAGTAATTCAAAATAACTACAAATGTTTTTGCGCACTTGTTTCATTCTCTGCCTTAAATTAAATAAAATGAATATAGTTTATATTTCAAAAAAGGCATTTGAACGATAACACATTAAAACGTCAGCGGCTTAGAATTTATCTCGTGTCATGGACAAGTTAACGATTCAAAACAAATTGAAAACGAACATAAACGTCAACACTATCGAGCAATTGTAAAAATATGACAGGCGTCCAGGTGTTTGTATATTGGATTAGCATTTGCTCCTGCTGCCTAGTGTCTGAAAGGAAGGGACATTACAAGCTATTTCCATCAAGCATATGATACTGCACAAATCTGAGAAATATACTTCCCTAAATTAATTGGAGGATACATCAAATAATCGAACTTAAGCATGTCGAATGTTTTTTTTCTTAGATTATTCTTGGAGACCCGGCTGCAAGAAGTAGTGCCAACTCGAACAAGCAGTTAGGTGACGACTGGAATGAATATAGCATTTTGACCCACGGAAGAAGCTGTATGACACATTCTTTTGATGAGCAATCGCAACAGGTGAATGTCACGAGTGTCACATCTACATGTAAGCTAATCTGCCACATTAAGCATTAGATTTACTACCCACGAATAGATTAACCCAATTATACTAAGGACATGAAAAACGTTTACACACAGTGGACACAAGGAAATCTTCTGCACCTGGGTCTCTCATGTCCGTATTCTTGAAAGATACAGAGGATCACTGGGAACACTCTTGTAGTCCTCGTTAGGTAATTCAGACATGCCTGCTTATTTCTTTGAGCCTGTGTTGCTGTTGAGCGTGGAGTCCACGGTTACAATATCGATAGAGTATTGACTGAAAGTCAAAAGCATGGAAAGGGAAACGTGTTAAAACAGTAACCAAATACAACGTAAATTAATTTAATCAAATGTCGATATACAGCAAGTGCCACTTTCAAGGATAAACAGAAAGAGAGCAACGCTTTGAGATGTGTTTATTTGGAAAATACGTTGAAAAACCTTTATCAAAATATAAATTCCGTAGAAAATATTGACGTGAACGAAAAAGGTGTTGATAAGAGTAAAGGGAAAATCCCCCTCATCGATATGTGTCGATTATTTCAAAGACTCTGTGATTATCCAACAGCGTCAATGGACAGCTACACGGAATGCATTTTACAATGTCAACATGTTGCTGGACGATATACATGTGCAGTGAAACCAATCGCCAAAGTAGTCATATTTGCATTACGTCAAGTTTAATCTGAGAAGAAATCCCCGGTCCTTGCAATGATTAAACCTGTGGGCAACATTGAGCACTTCAGGTGTGTCAAGTTTGGTTTGTTTACTTTTTATATCTCAATGAATGAACATTGTATGCTGAGGACAATGTACCACGCCGTACCGACAGTGCATCTTGAAATTACATGGCACTATCTCACAAATCAATTGTTTAGGGATAATGGTGCTTTGAGTAAATAAATCTGAAATTTCCCTTGCTCCAGGCTTCCTGGCTTGCGTCTTGTAATGCCGATTCTTTGAAGTAATCGATGCTGTGTACGTCTATCTGTATACGCGACTTCAAGCTGGGAGATGAGTTTGGCTTGAATACGTGATTCGGTAAACTGCTGTAGTCTTGTGTCGTTGCCTCATCCTCTATGTTCCACTCGCGGACCAGGTTGGTTTTCAACCAATTCAGCTCAACAAAAAGACGAATGTAACGAAGATGAACACCTGTCCCCTATACCATTCAGCGGTTTCACAAAGAAGCCTCATAGATTCTTATAATAAAACGTATCTCTGGTATTTGACGTGCCTCCCTGCCGAGTCAGACCACCTCTGACTCATATCTTATAGTATGTTTATCGGAGTTCTAATACAAGTTCTGTTACATCTGGGTCGAAGTGACCGCATGACTAAGAGTGAGTGGGTTTAGTTTTACGCCGCTTTTAGCAATATTCCAGCAATATCACGGTGGGGAACATCAGAAATGGGCTTCACACATTGTGCTTTGTGGAAAATCGAAGCTTGGTCTTTGTCGTGACGAACGAACACCTTAACCACTGGGCAGGTTTAGGACGTTCCGGTAATGAAGGGCCACCAGTCATGACAACGATTGAACTGTTTGATGTTCTTTTTCTGTGTGTTGTAGTGTTGCCTGACAGATATACACGTACGTCTCTAGTGATGATTCAACGCTCGTAATGAGTTTGTTACCGAAATGTTATATTCTCTAGTGGTAACAATTATGACACCACTAAATATTTGACCATGATCAAATTTCGTCTGTGACAGATAATACATGCAAGTTTGTTTTTTGATAGACTGAATCGATTTTCTTCAGCAGTAATAGGGACATCAGTCCCATTAACACATGCACTACACTGTTGGGAGTTTGATGCATCAGTTGTGATGGGCATGAGTGAGTGAGTTTAGTTTTACGCCGCACTCAGCAATAGTCCAGCTATAAGGCGGCGGTCTGTATATAATCGAGTCTGGACCCGACAATCCAGTGATCAACAGCATGAGCATCCATCTACACAATTGGGATACGATGACATGTGTCAACCAAATCAGCGAGCCTGACCACCCAATACCGTTAGTCGCTTTTTACGACATGCATGGGTTACTGAAGATCAATTCATTACATATTATAATCACAAGACGTAGATTACATACTTCCCCTCACTCAAGGTTGAAGGCGTTAACATGAGATTCGAATCTGAAGAAATTTCAAGAATTTAAAACACAACAGGTTCTCAATCTCACTATGACAAATGGCAGACTAAGGAGGAACTCTTTGGTAAAGGAGGAAATACTGAGTGTAAAATCGGTTTATTCTTCAGTAGACTGATGAGATCGGTTTTAAACCACATTGGTTTGTTTACATATCATCAAACAACCTTTCTACCATTGTCCGTAATTAGATTCAGTTCCAGATCCCCGAGCGCAGGAACTCATTGTTCAAAAGGTCACTGCGGGATTACACGAGTCCGTGACTTCATTCCATGTAGATGGACACGTAGCTGACGGTTCTTCGTGCCGGCATGACCTCGGTAATAATATGAATATGAAGGCGACCAATAAATGATCTAGCCTGGATCAGACATTTCACTGATTGACTTCATGAGCTTCTATCTGCGCAACTGGGATACCTGTATGTAGGATGAGAGTGTGTGAATCAAAATTTATCGTCTTACAGCTATACAATTATTTGGTGACGAAACAAAGGACAATAAAACGACTAGAATATCATAGACACAGCTTTAAAACAATCATGTAATCATTACAAAATATCACTTAACAAAATAAAATGAAACGGGCTTTAGGTCCGCCAAGAAGAGGACGTTGATCTCCTGACTAAGAACCATTGGGAATTACAGAACTATTGCTGCCTTCATGGACCCCAGCTAACGTTTTGCATCATCACTACAGGTGGTGGTAATTATTGTCATATTTAGCCATGTGAAAAACCATTCTACATGTTAAAACAGTGGTAGGAATAAATATATTTTGAACTGGGTGAAACGAGTCAGCGAGTCTGACCGCTCGATTTAGATTTAGAAAAAAATTCTTCCTGAAGACCAACCCCCAAACGTATGTTTGTATGTATGCTTGTTGAATAGGTTACACTCAGCAATATCCCGTCTGTATAAATTTGAACCTGGACCAGACATTCCAATGGTCAACAGCATGAGGATCTTCGCAATTTTGATACCATGGCATGTATACACTAAAAGGTATCTTCACAAGGGATAGATGTTAGTGTGCAAGTGTGGGCTCGTAAATATGTAAATGTTGTCCTAAACAGAAGGTGATGTGGCCAGTGCTGCGTGCGTCCCCTGGAAATTACACGACTGTTTTGACATAATAGGGGTTTACAACCGAGGATGTTCGGCGGTAAACATGACCCAATAGCACCGTCAATTGTCAATCTTCTACCATGTCACTGAAATTCGCATTACACATTTTAATTCGCTGTCCGTTTCCTTGTAAAATACATTGTAACACTTACTTTAAATAATTCGAATAAAACGGTATTTAACGCCTATTAAGCAAAACCAGTATTTGAAATAGACTTCTTGACGGGTTAATAATGGATAATTTCTTTCGGAACGACGGCTTTATGAGCTTCTCACTGATACAGATCTCCCAACAATAGTGGTCCAATCACAATTCTAAATTGCCATGGTAGCTTGGAGCAAATACCCGTTACCAGCACTAGTTTCAGAAAGTCATTCAATGAGGATCATCGAGTCCTCTGTTACAATTAGCCAATGCAGCTACTATCTTTATATCGACTATCTCCCGAGTACAAACGTTGTACACTCGTTATAGCAGTGTACATCGCAGCCGTCGTGTCTCACTCATTATTGGCAGAAGTAGGGCGATAC